ATATTTGTTAGTATTATACTTGTCCTGGTTACCAAAAAGAAAAAAATTATTCATTTTAGGCTTGTAAACAGAAAGACGGAGCATGGCATCAGCTAGGGGGATTTTCAGCAAGAAGTAAATGACACATACATTTGAATAAATTTCAACATTGACTTGTAATGACTCTATAAGCAAAAGCTCATTAGTTTTTCTGGAAATTTGAAATGATTGTTACTGGCTACCAAACTTACTGTTTAGAAATTTATCTTTCCTCAAGTGTTTGAATAAATTGCAGACTTGATTTATGATGTAACTTGCAATAACTTTATGAGCAACAGCTCATATAATCTTTTCTGAATCTTTTGAAATGATGGTTATTTTACTAGTCAGAAATTTATCTTCTTCTTTATTTTTAAAACAAGTTGGTGTTACATATCCTGAAAGGCGTAATTATTTAGATTTTAGAGAAGTGCTATTATTAGTTCCAAAGAAAAACTGTCATTGTGAAAATTAGAAGAATCACTAATTGGAAGTTCAATGACAAGGTTAAAATGGCACCCCTCAAATAGAGTAGTAAACAATCTGTCCTTGTAGAAAAGCATTGTTGATGTCGAGTTGATGAATTGTCATTTGTATGGATAATACAAGTCGCATTGTTGTTGGCTTGATGTCAGGACTGAAGGTTTGATGAAAATCCAAGCCAGGGATGGCGCGGCGCAGAGTGAACCCCTTTGCCATCTGTTTTTCTTTTAATCGTGATACAACTATTTGCAGTCCACAACATTCTTCGTTGAGTCTCCTGGTACCATTTTTCATCAAAGCATCATATTCTACTTTCAAGCTTGTCACCACTCTTCATGGATGATAGTTTGTTTGAAGGTTGTTGGCTTAATATGTGTGACACTGGAAAGAAGAAAGTGGAGAATTATCAGGATTAGCTACAACAGCTGCTGGTACCTAGACGGAATTGAAGGAGCAAATATAGTTTACGGGTGATCCGAGTAAATTGGATCCTATATGGAGAGTGGTATAGGTGGCCGTAGGGGTGTTCACGGTTGGGTGAAAAATCAAACGACATTTGGTTTGGTGACAATATTGATTTGGTTTTGAATTTCACTAAGAAAAATCCTAAAAATAATCAAACAACTAAATTATATAATTTTTTGAACATATGATTTTAGTTTTTCATAAATAATTATAAATATTTTATACCTTTTAGTCATTAATGTGGTTCGAGTGTACTTCTTTCACATGCATTACAACGCTTTTAACTTCTATTTCTCAACGTGTCAAGACCCAAAAGTCAAGGTCATGATAGTACACACATCCCCGAGAACTCTGAAATGGTGTGTAAACCAAAAGAAATACACATACAAGACTCCATACATATTTATTTATCTAAAAAAGACCGCTAATTTTCACTATAACCTCTTAAAAAAAGTTGACAGTGTGCCCATAATAAATGTAAGATAATTACCTCACTTGCTCCTTTATTATGAGGTTTTGAAATTGTAAAGGACGATTGCCCCAATACCAAAAGGCAATGCAGGAAAAAGAAAAGGTGCAGATTTGTCGCTCCCCGTTTTTCCTTAAATTTGACTCTACTTACATCGTCACAAAAAAAAATTGTGTTCAAGAACAAATAATATGGCATTTAAAGAATGAAAAAAACTGGTATTTACTTAAAGGAGATTCTTATTATTTATTTTGAGAATCAACTACCATACCTTTTCCTTAAATTATAATCTTCCCAATACAAGTTATGTTGGAATTCAATTGCCAAATAAAAATGTTTAGAATCTTGGTACTCTAAACAATAATATTTTTTTGGAATATATATAGTAATAAATAAAACTCTCAACATATTTGCTCATCTTTGGCAAAAAGGCATTTGCTCTTTCCTAACAAACTGCCACCACTCAGACATCAACCAACAGTTAACATCAGATCAGATGCTATTAATGCCATTCTAGATTACGACCTTCCCAGAGATCATTTGTTCCCCTCTTCCCTTTCAAAAGAAACAAATAGCAACACAAAGTAGATTATATGAAATGCCATAAATCTTTTGGGGTCTACTTCACAACACTGCAACAATTACAAGATTTGTCAACTATGTTGATGAGGGAAGTTATCAAATAAAACTAAATGTTCAACGTCCTTTTCCCTTCTACAAGGAACGTAATTTGCCCAGGGATGAAACAACTGTCTTTACTTCAATATCCTCAACTATTAGTTATTTGATCTCATTCTACCCTAGTATATACAACAAGAATATCTAGCCACAACAAGCAAAACTCCTAGCATTGTACATATAGACATATCCTTTTAAACATCTTCCCCTCCTATGTTAGATCTTTGCTGATGAAGACATCACCTTCAAGCTCAATAGGAAGGACAAATCATAAAAGACCACGCCAACACTTACCATTTTTATTACCCAAACCTGTTGTTTAACACAACACACTCTCACTAAAGCAGAATGAAGGGATCAAGGTTTTCAGTTTCAATGCCCAACAATATGGAAGTCCTTTCTATATGACCCAAAGAGGTGCTTTTTTCAGCAGTTGTACCATGCACTAAAATCTACTTCAACAAGAGTGAGTACACCTTCTTGGCAATCTTTAGTAAGTCCAAAGGCAATTCTGCATGGAAAAATAAACAGGCGCATTATGCAATATGTGGCGCAACATGCACCAACCATGCTGCTCTACTCTTAGTTGATAACATCAACAAGGATATGAAAAGGAAAAATTTCATGTCAAACAAACTTATCTAAAGTACTGCTCACAAATTTATACTCCATTGAAAATAGAAGATTTATACACTTCCTCTTAATGCTTCAATTGTCTTGCTTGTAATGAACACTACATTTCCGCAGAGTACCAATGTCCCATTCCATTTCACTTCAATCTTGGGATTGCACACACAGAAGCCCCACATAAATCCTTTAATTACACAACATATATAATGATAAATGTGAACTAGAAACTTATAAACCTATCCGAAACCCCCACCCACCCCCAAAAATGAAGCTAAAACCTATCATTGAAATATTACACACTCCAGGCACAAAAAGATCAAAGACTTGGTTCCCAAATTAGACCCTTATAACAACTGTAAAGTCATTAGGTAGCATGCAAAAAGATAATTTATTTATAGATGCTTCCAAGTAGAAACATGCATTCAGCATTAAATGGCATATATTCTAAATGGAAATAACACCCGTTCAAAGGTGAAAATTCAGATTGGTGCAGAGACTGGCTTCAAAAGGAAGCGAAACAAGCATTCAACAACAAATGACATATGTTGCAGATATAGAGAAATAAGTTTTAATATCACTAGGATTAGATACACAGATGTTCACTATGGATACCTGTTAAAAGTGAAAATTCAGAATGGTGCAGAGACTGAACAGAGAGCTGCTTTATCAAATCCAACCATTTAATATTTACATGTCGAAGCACTGTCCAAACTGTGTCTTGTTTAACCTTTCTACAACACCTTAAATACAAAATTCCAGAAACTGAACAGGTAGCTGCTTTTCTTAAGCCAAAATGTGCAGTTTTGGAGTCCCTTCAGGGACATCTGAAAACATAAGTGCATCTTTTGTTGGAAGTGCATTGTTCAATATCATATGCTGAAGTACTCTTCTAATTGTGTCTTGTTTAGCCTTTCTACAATAACTGAAAACAAATTATACATTACCATCTTCGTTTTTTTCTTATCACAGCTCCAGTTCTAAAAATAAATACACAATCAGGGGGAGGAGAGAAAGAGAGAAAAATATGTGATGGTAGTTGCTGGCATTTGATTTTCAGATTAGCAGTCAAAGGACTACCTACATTTGCACTCAAGGGAGTGCATACTAGGCTGCTACAAACACTTTTGATGCAACATTAACATTCTTGTGGAGAAATAAAGTATAAGTAGTGCGCTCCTCTTTTATCCCAAAAAAGGAATTCTAAAACATATGCAAGTACATGGACCATATAAATAAGAAACGGTCCATGCGATTATAAACCTCTGCAGACTGCCAGGCAAATTCTTTTCCTTTTGGGATCCTTCCTCACACAATTTTTCGGAAGGAGAAAAATACTTGCCAACTGGTTACACAGAACCAGTCTTAACAATTAGTAAAATATATACAGGGTTTTCTTAACATTGAGATGCAATGCAAGTCTTCTAATATTCGATAAGGGAACATGGATTTTCAGATATCCTTATTTTCCTTTTTCCCTTTTGTCCCTTCTTCTCTTTTTCCTTCTGATACTGTTCTTCTCTTTTCTTGTCTAGAGAACAAAAGTAGGGAGGAATAATACAAAAATAAGGAAAAATAGGTCAAACCGTCATAGACTTCAATTAAGTGACACTAGAAACTTCGCAATAAAGCTGAATCTGTTTACATCAGTTTTTTTTTAATCAAGGCTTACATCAGTATTTATTTTAAATGGCAACTCTACCAACCAAAAAGTGAACAGATTTACCAATAAATTTGGACATATTCAAATTCATGTTTTTATGCACCCAGGTACTTGAGCCCATCATCGCCCCTGTTGGTTGGCTACTTAAACTTCCACCTTGTTGGTGGGGGTTCGATTCCCCACCTTGTAATCCCCTTTCCCTCTATATAATTAAAAACAAATTAAGAGAAGGGTGCTTGAGCAAAAAGTTAGACAATCTGCTCATGCAATTCCTTCACAGAGCATCCAGTTTCCACTCTCTCACTCACCTACAAATATGTCCAAAAGGAACAACTATCATACTGCAAATTCACAGAGCCATTCTGCCTAAGCATTATTTAAGTTGGATAAAATACAAATACCCAGATGCTTGGTCAGTTGATATACTCCATTTTACACGGTCAAGAACATCCTCTGTGGTTCGAAGTTTTTAGTGACACAACTAAGAATCTTATGTATATTTAACCCTTATATGAGGGAATATTCTATAATAATTGGAAACCAAGAGCTAAGGAATCACACAGAATTGATTGCTTGTATTGCCAATATGGCTAAGAAGTTTCAATCCTTTCCAACTAACCTTTGCCAACTTTAACCTTTTATCCTCTAGTTTACATGTACGGCAAGGTAGACAAATATGATTATTTTACACCTCAGCTTAGTATAGAGTCAGGCATTGGGATAATATGCATGTTGAGTTCTGCCACAACTTGTCAAATATTTCTCTTACCACAACCATATTTTGACCAATTGATGTTTTTAAGATTTAATCTATTGAGAAGATATACTACTTAGCATTTTAAAGAAGGAACATGTATCTAGATATAAATACTAAGATAAATTTATCTGGCTTTTAAGGAGGAGAAATACTAATTTAGATGCCTAACGCAAGCACAGAAAGTATACCTGATTCTTCATATGCTGCTCCCTTAACACAGTAAAGATAGTTAATGTGTTTGTTAGTTGACTTGGTATTTCAGAAAACGAAAACAAATTACCACTATAAAAAGCAAAATCACATATGCACAAAGCGTGGTGCAATCTGACTAAACTGTGAACTCAATGGAACAATCTTACCAGTGTGGAAAATATAAGATTAAAGCAACAGGGCAAGCCACTAAGTTCTTCAATTAATGGGATATAGCATGACATTAACTTCTGTACCTCTGATTTTTCACAATACTAAGTAAAGGATCCCTCCAAATTCTCAATTGCAAAGTCTGGGGATAAAACAAATGATAGAACCACACACATATTTCAGCCTGCTACCTTTATTGCACCAATCTCATCAATCTTTGAGCTCTTGTGCTGCAATATTTCAGCATGTGAATACGGCAGAGTTAGAAAAAGATGAAGATAAAAGTACCAATGTAAGATCACCTATGTAACTTGTTCAGAACAATAAACTTGTAACTTTCTGGATACTTGCTTGGTTAAGTTCTTCATAAAAGTTTCCGACAAGAAAGTTCTGGGTTACTTTTTGAAAAAAATAGAAATATTCAAATCAAAAGACATGCAACTTCAACTTGAAAAAAAAAAGGTACTACATTTATCCAGACATCTTTCTCGCAAAAATGTTTCCTCAAAAATATTTCTCCAAGGAAAACACTAAAAGGAAGTTGTTCAAACACCACTTTAAAGTTTGCAAACATACCAAAGATAAAGGAACATATGAATTCAAAACTATTCAGTTCTACCTTGCTTCTCTTGTGTTTGTGAACATCATTAAGTTCCTCCTCTCCATCATGCTTCCTTTTCTGGGAACAATGAAAACATCATAATCAGTCAACACTTTCAATACTGTGAAGTACCACTGTTGCTTCTGGCTGAAGTCCTAAACTACAGCAAAAATTGGTGATTTTCAAAAAACATCTCAAGTAGACGGTAGATAAGCATCAATAGAACAAGAACTTACATTGGAAAGGGAAAAAAACCAAGGTTTGCAAATAGAAGTTTACAACGTCAACCTACTCTCATCTAATTCAGTACTAATACATGCTGGCAGATGCTTTGACAATGGTGCCAACTCTATTCACAAGATTTTTGTTTTGTTTTAGGTGTAGACTGGGATATGTAAATGAGGTGGAAATAGTGCTATAGGTTTTAGAATTAGTTTGGGGCTAGCTAAGGCTGTCTTTTGTATTTGAAATTCCCCTACTGATATTAAACAGCTATCACAGTTGTTGTGCTGTATCATTTGTAAAATTTTACCTTACCTTCTCAAAAAATGAGATTAACAAATTCAAAGTTCAGGTTACTGCAAATGGGTCAGAAGAGAGAGATAGCTTGAGCTGTATCAAAGCTACAGCAGCAAGAAAGAGATTTATGCTGATGTCGAAGTACCTTAATAAGCTAAACATAGAGCAAACTAAACCTTTTGCCTTATTAACTAAAAAGTCAAGTAACAGAGCATTTCAAAGGGTCCAGGTTGCATTTTCAAGAAACGTAAACTTTTATTTCCTTGACTTTTTCTCCCTGCAATCCAATAAAGGCAACTGACAACAGGAAAGAATAACAAACTCGATAGAATTGTATGATCCAGTGTAATTTAAGGAAGGGTAACGTTCAGCAAAGTTCTACTATCACATGACAAATATTTCAGCAGCTTTGGACAGTTCTATTAAGAAAAGACAATATTAGCAAATTCATTTGAAAGAGCTGTTCTTTAAACCAGTCATCTGAACTTCTTCATACCAAAAAAGCAGATGATATATTTAGTAAGAATCAACATACTGCACCAATTTTCTCAAGGTTTTGCTAGTAGCAGACCTTCTCGTGATGTTTCTTCGAAAGATCAGCACCAGAATCATGATGAACACTTTTATCTCTCTTTTTGTCTTTATCCTTGTCTTTACTTCGATCTTTATGACGATGTTTGTGCTTCTTATGCTCTTTGTCCTTATCTTTGTGCTTTTTATGCTTCTTCTCCTTGTCTTTCGACTCACTTTTGGATTTTCCAGCTACAGTAGGGATGCCTTTCTCAGACTATAAAACAGAAGAAGTTATAGCATTACCTAAAAAACACTTAACTAAAATGGATTGTTGTCACTTAAGTTTCAATCAGTAGATTTCTTACAGGAGGCAGATCCACTGGAGCCGCTTCACGTAGTCGAAAAGCTTCACCAAGAACATCTAGGTCAAATGGCTGGATGCGGGAACTCGTCTCTCTTGACAAGGAAGTATCCTGTATAAGCTGATCCAACTGCATCCCTTCCCCTTTCCTAATTTCTGTGTCCCCGACCACATTGTGAAGATAGTGGGTATCTGAAATAGACAACGGAAGTGACCTCTTGCAGAAGAACTCCTGATGAGGCAACAATTTGAAGTGACTAATAAGATCCACAGCACCTGTAAGTTCTCTGGGCCCTGGTTGTGCATTTTGACCAAACCAAAACAGTTATAAACTAAAGATCTCTTGATTAAAAAGCAGGCATTCTAAAGATGACCATATCAGAGTCTGATGATGGATTAAAACTCAGACTCTGATATGGTTATCAAAAAGATCACCATATCAGAGTATGAATTGCAATCCATCATCTGAGACATCAAGAGATAAATCCAAGCACTTCGAGGAAAACCCATAAGCTTTTGTTTTTAGACAAGTAAAAGAAATCCCATATTCTTTAGTAGTCCAGTAATCTTTACAACACCTCACACGTGAACAAAATATCAATTCCCTTTGTCAAGATTTAATCAATTTTGGCTTATAATAGTCGATCAAAAGTCAAAGAATTATAATCTGACAGCTAACACCATCCAGGTGATGAAGGAAAATGCTTGAGAATACATTGTTTTGTGATGACAAACTTTTACAAAAACCCATTCTATAATAAACAATTATGCCACATGTAAGGCCCCAGAGATATAACATAGCATCAATAGTCCTTTTCTTTTCTCCAAAATGAACCATGAATCCTTTGGATGCAGAAACCACACAAAAATGAGAAGGCAGTAAAAGATGACTTTTAATCCTGAAAGAGATAACTGCCATAAAACAAGGATTGCAAGGGAAAATAAATCAGCCAGCTGCACATTTGAGCAAAAACCTGATGAAATGAAATTCATTTTACTGTAAAACAGAAGCTAGTTATGCATATAAAGATCCTCGCATTATCAAATATCTGCAGTAGTCAATATAGGGAACCATGCAAAAGGACTGTAGTTTACTAGTTCTGTTTCAAAGGGAAAAGCAAAGCATTATAAGGGTCTTACCTCTTCCAAATCTCTTGTTATCAGGATCCATTAATTAGTAACAAGTATGTGAGTACAGCATTATCTCCTGGAAAATATCAATAGGTTAGAATAGGTCCATATCTTTCTAGGCAACGGTCAGAGTACAGCACTGGAACTAAAACAGAATGGCAAGTATCAGCAGAAACTAAAAGATGTAAGAGTAATTTGAGACCACCACAAAGAACAAGGAAGTATTAAAAGATGGAGGATGGTCACTGCTTGCACATTTGGTGGACAATTTGGAAAGGAAGGAACTCTAGATGCTTTGAGAACAGCAGCCACAGAGTGCAGAAAATTAAACTTAACTGCATTAAGCTCTTATGTTTTTGGTGAAACTAGAAACACCCTGAGGATACACACATTACGTTCCTGTCAAAACAGTAGAATGGTTTTGCTCTCTTTTGCTCACTTGTATATATTGTTCCAGTACAACTCATGTATTGTTTTTTGTCTAATATATACATGTTACCTTCTCAAAAAAAAAGAGCTCATCAACCTTTTTTTTACCTCGTCCAAAAATAAGCTACCTAATGCCCTCATTTTGCATAAGCTCTCCTGATCTAACAAAACCAAAATATGAAGCATTGGAAAAAAGAATGTGCCAAAACAATGTTGAAAAGTGATTCAGATACTTGACTAAGTCTTCAGGAGTTTGTTAGTTAGTTTCCTTTATCTTAGCATGTTTAGATATTGTGGCAGATTAGTAGCTAATTAGTAGTTAGTGGTTTAGTGGACCTAGATTTTAGTATTTTCTGTTTTACAGTAAGCCTATTTATAGGCAGACTTGTTGCTTCCATTATCAATTAGAAACAAAACTTTGCAGTAGCTTTTACTTCTGTTTTTTGCCCTATTTTTCTGTTCACTTTCACCTTGACTTCCTTTTTCTTTCCAACTAATTTGGTATCAAAGCAAGGTTACTTTCTGGAAATTGTGAGGAAAAATGGCAGTAAATGGTATTTCATCATCTTCCCAACAACTCATGCTGGTGAAAAGTATGAGTTTTGAAGTATCAAAATGAAAACTCTTTTCAAATCACAAGTAGTTTGGGATTCTGACGAAGAGACGGAAAAATTGAAAGAGATAAAAAAGAAGGATGCCAAAGCGCTATTCCTGATTCAACAAGCAGTCCATGATACAATTTTTTCAAGAATTGCAGCAGCAACTACATCTTCGCAGGCATGGAAGATTTTGAAGAAGGAATTTCAAGGTTCAGCTAAGGTGATTACGGTAAAATTACAGACTTACCGTCGTGACTTTGAAACTCTTTCTATGAAAAGTAATGAATCTGTTCAAACTTATTTGTCTAGAGTTTCTTCTCTTGTTAATCAAATGAAGTCTTATGGTGAAAACATATCTGAAGAAACGGTTGTAGCAAAAGTTTTAAGGAGTCTTACTTCAAAGTTTGAACATATTGTTGTTGCGATTGAGGAATCTCATGACTTATCTAATTATACTTTTGATGAACTAATGAGTTCTTTGCAAGCTCATGAAGAGAGGCTCCTAAGATCGCATGAAAAAAATGAAGAAAAGGCGTTTTAGGTGAAGGGGGAGTCCATTCATCAGAAAGATAAGCTAGAAAACTTTGCAAATCGTGGAAGAGGCAGAGGTGGTTTTCGAGGAAGAGGCCAAGGAAGAAATCGAGATAGAGGAGGATCAAATGAAGAGAAGCAGGCTAAGACGTTTCTGTGCAACTACTGCAGAAAATCAGGTCATAAAGAAGCTTGAAGCTTATTGTTGGCAAAAACAGAGGGATGAGAATAACCAAGCAAGCTTTGTAGAGGAAAATGATGACAGTAAGTTGTTCATGGCCCTTTATTGTGAAAAAGAAACTCCTAACGATTTTTGGTTTTTGGACAGTGGTTGTTCCAATCATATGTCTGGAACAAGATCATTGTTCAAGGAGCTCGATGAGTCAAAAAAATCAGATGTAAGGCTAGGAGACAACAAGAAGATTCAGGTTGAAGGTAGAGGTACAGTTAGCATTATGACCAGCCAAGGCAATGCCAAGATTTTAGAAGATGTGATGTTTGTTCCTAGTCTATCTCATAATTTGCTTAGCATTGGACAACTAATGATTAGCGGATACTCAATTTTCTTTGACGATGGTGTTTGCACTATTAAAAATAAGAAATCTGAGAAAATCATTGCTAAAGTTCCAATGGCTAACAATAAAATGTTTCCTCTAGAAGTTTCAATGGTTGAGAGGTGTACTATGGTAGCTAGTGGAGATAATGAAACTAGACTATGGCATTTACGTTATGGGCATTTAAATGTTAATGGATTGAAGTTATTGAGTCAAAAGGAAATGGTTTTTGGGTTGCCAAAAGTTGAGAATCTTGATTTTTGTGAAAGTTGTGTTTATGGGAAACAAAGTAAAAAATGTTTTCCTATAAGCAAGTCTTGGAGAACTTCTGTTTGTCTTGAGTTAGTACATGCTGATTTGTGTGGTCCTATGAGTGTTGAGTCTTTAGGGGGAAGTCGATACTTTCTGCTTTTTACTGATGATTATAGTCGTATGAGTTGGATATATTTCTTGAAATTTAAATCTGAAACTTTTGACAATTTCAAGAAATTTAAATCTTTTGTTGAGAGGCAAAGTGGATGTAGACTCAAAACACTTCGAACAGATAGAGGTGGTGAGTTTATGTCAAAAGAATTCAGTTCCTTTTGTGAGGAAAATGGAATACACAGAGAACTCACAGCACCTTATACACCAGAGCAAAATGGTGTAGCAGAACGAAAGAACCGCACAGTTGTCGAGATGGGCAAAAGCATGATGGAAGGTAGAGGTGTATAGAAGTGTTTTTGGGCTGAAGCTGTTGCCACTGCTGTCTATTTGCTGAATATTTCTCCTACTAAGGCAGTGTTTAATCAAACACCATATGAAGCTTGGAGAGGTAACAAGCCCAAGGTAGGCCACTTACGTGTCTTTGGTTGTATAGCTTATACCTTGATAAATTCACAAGCTCGACGTAAGCTTGATGAAAAATGTGAAAAATGTATTTTTGTTGGATATAGCACACAATCCAAGGCTTATAAGTTATATAATCCAGTGAGTGGTAAGATTACGGTCAATAGAAATGTTGTGTTTAATGAAGATGCAAGTTGGAATTTTAATTCCACAGATGAAAGTTCAAACATTAAGTTGTTGCCTTCTGACGATATTATTGATCAAGAGTATGTAGCTGATCCTTTTTTGGCTGGTCCATCGTCTACCTCATCAATTGCACCAGCAACTTCTCCAATATTGGAAAAACCTTCCGCTGAGCCAACTCCATTAAGAAGATCAACAAGAGATAGGAAACAAAATCCTAGATATGCTAACAGTATATCTTGTACCTTTGCTTTACTTGTTTCAGATCCTATCCTCTTTGAAGATGCTGAAAAAGAGGATAAATGGTGCAAGGCTATGGAAGAAGAGTTGATGGCTATTCAAAAGAATCAAACATGGGACTTGGTAAATTTGCCTGAAGGAAAGAAAGCTATTGGGCTCAAATGGGTGTTTAGAACCAAGTATCATGCTGATGGCAGCATCCAAAAACATAAGGCAAGGCTCGTCGCAAAAGGTTATTCCCAGCAACAAGGTATTGACTTTGAAGAAACTTTTTCTCCTGTTGCTCGCTTTGAAACTGTGAGAACTTTTTTAGCCTTGGCTGCTAATTTAAGTTGGCCAGTTTACCAATTCGATGTTAAATCTGCCTTTTTAAATGGTGATTTGGAAGAGGAAGTCTATGTCTCACAACCTGAAGGTTTTGTAGTAAATGGCAAAGAAGATAATTTCTATAGGTTAAAAAAGGCACTCTATGGCTTAAAGCAAGCGCCGCGGGCATGGTACTTCAAGATTGATTCATATTTCCATGAGAATGGTTTTGAAAGGAGTAACAATGAGCCCACTCTTTATGTAAAACGAGAAGGTAAAAATGATTTTTTGGTCGTATGTCTTTACGTTGATGATATGATATATATGGGTTCGAATGAGTCTATGATCACTGATTTTAAGGACTGCATGATGAAGAATTTTGAGATGTCTGATTTGGGTCTACTGCATTATTTTCTTGGTCTTGAGGTGAAACGGGGAATCGAAGGCATATTTCTTTCACAAAGAAAATATGCGACAGATCTTTTGAAAAAGTTTACTATGGTAAATTGTAAAGTTGCTGTTACGCCGATGAATATTAATGAAAAGTTGTGTCGTGATGATGGTTCTGAAATGGCAAATGCAACTTATTTTAGAAGTCTGGTTGGCGGTTTGAATTACTTGTCTCATACAAGACCAGATATTGCTTTCTCTGTTGGCGTTATATCGAGATTTATGCACAATCCAAGCAAGCTTCACCTTGGAGCTGCATAGAGAGTACTAAGATATATTGCTGGGACAACAGAGCATGGAATTTGGTATTCTAAGGTAACAAATTTCACATTAACTGGCTTTACTGATAGTGACTACGCAGGCAGCATTGATGATCGAAAGAGCACATCTGGTTTCTTGTTTAATCTTGGGTCTGGAGCAGTTTCATGGAGTTCAAAGAAGCAGGAAGTGGTCGCTTTATCAACTTCAGAGGCTGAATATATTGCAGCAACCTCTGCAGCTTGTCAAGCAGTTTGGTTAAGGAGACTTGTTGCAAATTTTAATCAAACACCGACTGGTGCAACTGAGATTTTTTGTGACAAGATATCTGCTATTGCGATGACGAAGAAGTCAGCATTTCACAGCAAAACAAAGCACATTGATATTCGCTATCACTATATTAGAGGTCTTGTTTCTACTGGAGAAATTACTTTGAAGTCTTGTGATACAAATGAGCAAGCAGCAGACATCTTCACGAAGTCACTTCAGCAAGCAAAGCACGAGTTCTTCAGAGGTCAACTTGGAGTTTGTTGTTTTGAATCAAGGGGGAGTGTTGAAAAGTGATTCAAATACTTGACCAAGTCTTCAGGAGTTTGTTAGTTAGTTTCCTTTATCTTAGCATGTTTAGATATTGTGGCAGATTAGTAGCTAATTAGTAGTTAGTGGTTTAGTGGACCTAGATTTTAGTATTTTCTGTTTTACAGTAAGCCTATTTATAGGCAGACTTGTTGCTTCCATTATCAATTAGAAACAAAACTTTGCAGTAGCTTTTACTTCTGTTTTTTGCTCTATTTTTCTGTTCACTTTCTCCTTGACTTCTCTTTTCTTTCCAACAAACAAAGCTATATCCAGAACAAAATTACAACATTTTTGGGTGAACTTAGTAGAAAATTCAGAATGTGGGTTCACACAGAGATACACTCATATTTTCAATTTCTAAAGCTCCACCTTCCAGGGAGGGTTGGCAAGTCTTAGAGTGGACATGCACAGTTACTTCCAAAAAGACGTGGAACGAAATAAAACTAAGAAAACAAAATCTATTAAGAAATGAAGTAGGCAAAAAGTTACTCAATGTTCAGCACTATGCTTTCACAAGATGTAGAAGGTTCTTTCACTTTTAGGTAAGTAAGGAGGCAAGTCGTACTTAAGCAATGATGTCCACATCTGTGATGACAAGGCAGAAGAAATAGATGAAAAAAGGAAGTGATACATAATGTTTAATCAGATTGTTAATGGGGATCCCAAAAGAGGAGAAAATAAGAGAAAAAGCTACTTGTCTTTAGTAGACAATGACAACAGGAATTGCAAACACCAAGACATCAAACTTTTATACAAAACTAACGATAACATAGTTTCCGATAGGAAAAGTCTAGTAAGTCTATTTTTTTCATTTTAAACAAGTAGATACCACATCCCCTAAGCAGCAGAAGTACATGATAAAATATTTTATCCTAAGCTTGAAATATGCATCTTATCTAAACATGCAAAATGAAGACCCCACTAAACAACTAACAACAGTAGGCTTCTTTCACCATGCAATGCAAGAAATTGATTTTCCTTTATACTCTGTTCTTTCTGCTTTCCTTTTTTGCAGCAACAGCAATTGTATGATTACTCATTCAGCAAAATCTCATACTCAGAAACTTCAATTAGCTACAGTCCCATTATTACATTTTTAGAGATTCATTGTGTCTGTCAAGAAATAGCAGACTATGAGGCCAAGCTCAACACTTTTAGAAAGTTAGTTGAGAAATGCAACAAGACCAAGTTTTGAGCATAGCAATCACAGTAGTGCCCAAGTTACCAGAAGAGTCGAACTCCGAGTACCACCGAGAGTAGGCGCTACCCTCAAAATCAATACTTTAAAAGCAGAATCAAACCTCTAGTCATTTCCCTCATGAATGAAACATGTTGATCTGAGTATTTGAACAAAATTAGGAAATAGGGAAAAGGAGCTTACTCGCTGAAACAGAGAGATCGAGTTAATTTTGGAATCCGTGAAAGCACCAAAGTCGTCAGGAATTCAAACTTAGGAATTAGGGTTTAGCAATTGACCAAAGGCTTCGTCTTCGAATTAGTATTTGGTTGAACTGAAATAAACCCTAATTCCGATTGGCGATTGGAAAACAGAATTGATGTTCTGATTTTCCTTGTTATGATATACTGTCAACCTTATTAGTACTATTATTTTATTTATTGTATTCTGACGTTAATTGTCCCTCATCTGGTTCTATCCTCGAGGGAGCTTTCCGTCATTTCAAATGACACTTATCTAGGAAAGGAGGAAAAACAAACCATGTCTTTTCTGTTTTTTTTTTGCCAATAATATAAATTGATGCCATAATTTTAAATTTCTAAGGATTATTGAATTTTAATATTAAGAATTAAATTTTTATTTTTAAAAAAAGTATTTGAATTACTCACATCAATTAAAATCTAAAGCAAAGATGAAAATGTTTATAAAACAGAACATTCGAACCTATATATGATATAGTCGTAAAGGTTAGCTCGTGTGACACTATTAATGCATGATCTCTTGTTTGAAGATCCTTATGACGCAATCATATTTTTGATAGATATATTCTACAAAGTGTGTGTATCACTTGCAATATAAGTTGATCAGTGAAAGTGATTATATATATATGATTACGATTTTGCTTTCAAACTCTTTTAACTTTTTATTGAACCTTCTAGGTAATCTAAAGAAATTTAATTGATGTTTTAAAAAGAACATTTATATTCTAGTTATTTTGTGTTTCACGTATAGTATTTTAATCATCTTTTATTATTGATTTTATCTCTTGGCGAGCTTAATATTATGTTCTTAATGTATATGATTAAAATGAAAAAAAATTGAAGTTAAAAAGAGTAGGGGTAGAGCTACAATGTAACATGGGAATTTGGACGAACGCAATAGCTCTTGTGTAGACTCTGTGTTTGTACTAAAAACTCAAAAAAATAAAGAGATAAGGGTAAAAAACACACCTAAACTATACATTTTTTTAAGTTTCATACATAAATTATTAAGAGAGTGAGAAACACACCTAAACTAGCATTCATTAGTTTGAAAAACATACATCAAGTAATATGTGATGGTGTGTATATTACATTCTCACTTTTTTTATAGCAATGCCACATAAATTGTCACATGAAAACAAATTCTACTGTGGCAAAAGGTTTAAAATTTAACCTTCAAAGTGTAAAGCATTTTTCTCTGTTGAGTCTCCTTCATGTGTAAATATTGTTGAGTAAAATTAAAATTTTCACTATTAATTTACAAAGTCATCATGGTTTGAAGGTTAGTTACTGATTCATCAAAAAGTATTAAGGTTCTCATTTTTATCTCAAAATATTATCGATTTTGTATATATTTCTAGGATTTGATTCATACCATCTGAAAAGAGTTAAAAGGAGAAGAAATTGACTACACAAGGTACTCTTTCTTTACTCGTGAACTTAATTTCCGTATTGGTGGCGATTTTTAATAACTGATTTCATGAACAATAGTTGGCTTATTAAACTTTGCATATTTCAATTGTTCCAAAGTAGTGGACACTGAGTACATAAATTTAATATTTCATATCGGTGGTATACTTATGAATGAGGTAGGACCTACTTATTGGGTGAAACAAAGATTATGCCTTCAATGTTGATATAAACCATGTGTCTTCTCCAGTCTCCATGTCTGAGCCGGAGGACAATCAGACTCTACAAACAAGGAGAACGGAGCTTCGCTCTAAGTTATTACATGATCCAACAAGGATCACAGTGCCTCCTACGCCTCCTCCACCTCCTCCACCTCTAGCTTAGACAATCGAGCAGATACCTCCGGTGCCACCAGTTCAGGCACCCTCTACCCGGTCGTTGAACAGACTGAAGGTCGCGGTATTGAGGACAATTCCAGAGGAGAAGAGATTGTCTACCGATGTTATAGTAGACAGATATCCTGAGGTGTGGAAAACTATCAAGTTCCACAAATTTGAGATTTTCACCAAGCTTTGTGTCTCATACATTCCTTCGTGGGTTCGAGAGTTCTATACCGAGTATGGGAAGTTGGTGGCAAAGGGGAAAAAGAAGGCCAATATATTTACCCCGATTGACCATGTGGTGGTACGCGACAGGAAAGTCAAATGCAGCAACACCGACATAAATGAGGTGATTGGGTGTACACTGAATGTGATCCACTACTTGGTGGATTAGATATAAAAGATGACCCTTGACAACTTGATGGATTGCATCTCTCCGTTGATCTCTGATATCACACTGCCATAGATTAAGGCAGGTGTCCCGATAGAGAAGAAGGATATGAACGTGGCTGTCAGATACTGGTTCGGGTTTATCGGCAACACATTGATGCCATCACAGAATGAGTCCATACTCAAGCATCTAAAAGATGCATTGTTGGGCTCCATCATGGACCGGGATAGACTAAATCTCGGTTTGATCATTGAGCAAGAGATGACCATGAGGGTCAAGCAGAGTTAGACTTCTCTCCCATTTCCGGTATTAATCGCAGAGTTGTGCAGACGTGCTCAGGTGCCATTGATAGATAAGACAGATGTGGAAGTGACTCGCACTTCCTCTACTGACATCCGGAGGATAGAGGTCGAGTACACTAGAGATGAAGCCAAAAGAAGGAGAGTTGCATCAATGGATACTTCCCAGGTGGTTGATATGGAGATGTTTGTGATAGATGCAGCCCTTCCTACTCAGGTCGGTAAGCCTTCAGGTACCACTGACACTTTTACTACTGCACCCTATACTTCTGCTGATGCCCGTTCTGCTGTTGCTGTTTCCCGGCTCCTATTGACCCAGTCCATGTTGATCAAGATGGGCCATATGACCCAATCTGCTAATGTGCCTGCCTTCCGGGTAGAGGTTATTGTTCCCGAGATAGATCAAGATCAGGGCTATTGTTGTTGCCTTAGCTCCTATCCAGGCTAAGTTAAGAGAGCACCGGGAGTTGATTACCGCCCATGGATTCGCACCAGATGCCCTCACGGTAAGAGTGGAGGCATGTGAGCAGGGTCGGAGGCAGCAAGATGATGTGATAGCCTTGAAGACTAATATTGCTAGTTTGAGACGTGAGCACAAATTTACCGGCCATTTCTGAGATCCCTCTGGCTACCACAATTGGAGATGTTGTTATGGCTGATGATGATGTCGAGTTAGAAGCTCTCAAGACTGATGATGAGGAGCTTGGCATGCGGGATGCAACAGTGTATGATAATCTAAAGAACCTCAAGGGGGCAATGGTGCAGAGTGTTGTGGAGGCATCTTTCATAGATACATCGATGGTGGGCTCCAGTTGAGTGATGGATAGAGCTGAGTCGGGCACTGATTCCCAGACTGAGGGAGTCACAAACATGCATAGTTCACCTCAGGCTTAGCCTGACAGGAGGGATCTTGACTCTCATTTAGTTTTATTTTTAGACTCATTTTTCATTTGCATTTGAGGACAATTGCTAGTTTAGTTTGGCGGGGTGAGGTATATTCATACCTACCTCTTTTGGGTTGTTTTTATGGATAAATTGTTTTTGTGAATGCTTGTGTGATTGCTTGATTTTGTTGGTGACTATTGGGTTTTGATCCATTGTTTTAATATGAATGTTGGTTTTGAGCCAAATTAAATTTTATCAGCTCTTGATGTTTGTAAATGTGGTTGTTCTCTTGTAAATTTGAGTATCGGTTGCGATCAATACCGACGACTTTAATAGTGCTCTTAATTGAACAATATGTGTGTGCGATTCCAATGAGGCAAATTTGAGTTGCATAACTCATATGTGAACTCTTAACATCTCATTGTTACTAGCCGATTGTTGAAAATGAATCTTGTGATGATCGTTGCACGCTAGCTAAATTTGTAACAACTTGTTCCCGTCGTTATAGAAAAGCCAATGTGGAAAGAATTGGGGACAGAAAAACTTTTTGTAGTATCCTGGAAATTCCTAGCCTAGTCCAGATTTGGACGAAATCTGAGTCATGTGAAATCTAGGGAAATCTGGTAATGAATGAGAGATTCAATGATGAATTTGGTTACATGAATGGATAGCTAAGACGTTAAGGAACCCGTACGACTTTATAGAA